TCACACTAAGAACACAGATCCGACAATGGAGCTCTAAGACAAGAACTGAACAAAAAAAAAAAAAAAGAAAGAAAACGAACCTGAACGCCTGGGGAATCGAAGTTCATCACACGGATCTTAGCACTAACATCTCCACGAACCGTAAGCTCAACACGATCATTCAACGAAGCGTCTCTAACTAGATCCGCAGCATTCCCTTGCATAAGATTAACTCTATCCACAGCAATCGTTGCCTCCACGTTCCTCGTACTATGCGCATCCTGGTAAAATCCAGCCACCGTCGCTCTCCCTAGAGGCAAGCCTTTGTACAACACCGTGAAGCTTGACTCACCGTACCTGATCCCGACTTTGTTCGGGTTCCCGGCGGTGAACAGCATCCTGATTGTGAAGGAGAGGGAGGCTGTGGTTGGATCTAAGACGCTAGGGTTGGGGTTATCCGCGGAGGTGATTCCCATGTTCATTACTGCCACTTGTTGTAGATCGAACTGTGGTTTCTTTGGCTTTACTGCTAGTATCACGATCAGGACTACAGCGAGGACTACGAGTGCGAGGAAAGAGAAGAGGAGGAAGAGGCAGCAGCAGCAGCCTTTGAGAGAGGCTGAGGAGGAGGAGGAGTGGCTATGGTAATAGGGTTGCTGATGTCTCGCTGTGTGAGAAGGAGGAGGGATATGGTGATTGGTGTTGCCGTTGAGGCTGGGTCTTGAAGGAGGAGGAGGGATATGATGAGTGGTGTTGCCGTTGAGGTTGGGTCTAGAAGGAGGAGGAGGGACATGATGATCGGTGTTGCCGTTGAGGCTGGGTCTTGAAGGAGGAGGTGGGACATGGTGGTGACCGGTGTTGCCGTTGAGACTTGGTCTTGAAGGAGGAGGTGGAGGCATAATAGGTGAGAAGAGGAAGCTCTCTCTCTCTCTCTCTCTTCCCTGTCTGACTGCAATGGTGGTGTTGAGAGAAAAGACAGCAAAAGAGAGAGACTTCCGCGTCAGGACAGTGTTGACACGACTTAATAATTCCAAAATATACGATATTAACTCACAATCAAATTTCCTAAAATTAAATAGATAAAGTAACACACAAGTGTCAATCTTTCTTACACACACCTTCGATTACAAGTAGACGTAAAGTGGGATGCTGAATGAGTTTAAGCTGAAGAGAGATGGATTACATGATTCAGATGTTGGATCCTCGTTAGGGAAAATGGTTCATCAAAAAAATGATAGTTAAACTGTATATGCAAAACACTCAAATTGAGAAACTGATTCCATGTGGAGAGAAACAGAGGCTTTTATGTACTAGAAAACAAATGAGGATAGACCTAAAATACAAAACACACAATCACTCTTCTTTTGTTACAGATAATTCTTGTGTAAAATCATTTTTGGCTGCTTTGTGCTAAAGTTGACCTGATGCTAAAAGACGCTATATTTACTTCTCTGGACTTGTGATCAAGATGTCAACCTTTTCTTTATTGGTTTCACATTAGCATCCACGAGCATCTGGCCAATACTTCCACAAGGCTAGCACGACATGACCAGCTGGAGCAGTTTTTCATTTTAAGTCCTAACTCGCAAAAACCATACCTTTGAGAGTTCTGCGACGGCTCCAGAGATAGCAAATAATTAATACACAACAAAACAATTGCAATAACATCCCAGGGAGCAGATACAGTCCAAGCAGTCTGCCATCGTTCAATGGAAGGGTCTGTTGCTTTGAAATACACCTTCAGGGAGAAAATTATCAGGCAAGCTGGATACATTCCAAGAAAGTTTTAATTCATCTTAAATAATACTTTTCAAAACCGCTTTGCCCAGCCATTTCCACAAGTAGGATTCAAGTTAATACAGTTTGCTACATCAGTATCAGATCAGGTTTGGCAGGATTGTACCTCATACAATATTCAAGTAACAGAAGAACCAACCAAAACAGCAAGAGCATTTGAGAACTTCCTGTAAATATCCAACTTCACCGAGGTCCTCTTCATCTGCATAAGATTCGATCACAAAAGAAGTTGATAAGCCAATCTGTTGGATCTTGCCTGAAAGCCTTGTAGCTTACAGAGTTGCTAAACTAGGAGATACCTGTAACTGTTACAGTGTTTTCGAAAGAGAGGTAAAGATCCACAAAATATGAGAAATGCATCCAGGAAAGCGTCAGGCAGGACAAGAAAAGGTTTTGCTCTTTCAGAAACATCATCAACTATGGCAACATTCTCTCAGCTATATCAAGCATCTCAGAAGCTATATGAAGGAAGTCACTCCAACAAGGAGGACTTTAGAAGTGAGACCACCAAGAGTGGACTTGACAGCCCCAAATCCCATGGAAACACAGAGTATGAGAATCCACGACACAGTTTTTCTGGAAGCACCAACTGTAACTAGTAAGTGCTAAAGCCCTCATCCCAGTGCTGTTAGAATTTGCATAATCCAAGTACCAAAAGACCTAATGATCCCAGTGCTTCTAGAGTCAAGTGCAGAAGGGATCCTAATGATCTCACCTTTTCGCTTACGCCGTAGAGGAGGAGAGAGTTGCCGACATCGTGGTATGCCTGTGATGGGTAGATGTGGGCGGAGGATTATGAGGTTCTGAAGTTGAAAGAGAGAAAAATTGGGACTAACAGATAGAGGTGGATTAATTTTCTCGAATCCATGGTCGCCATTATCGGGAAGAAGGAGGATTTTCCGGCGAAGCTTTGTAAGCCGGAGAAGAAAGCAGCTGCTCAAGTGCTGAGTCCTTGTTTAAAAAGAGTTGGACCCGCCAAACTGATATAATATTTGGGCCTTAATGGGCCTAAACCAAGAATTCGGCCCATTTAATACAGATACAATAGTCAATGCTAGTGTCGATCTATGGAAAGAGGCTGTGAAAGACGACAGGAAGAAGTAACCGGAGGGGGACTCTGCTGCATCGCCCGCCGCTCAGGAACAATCGGAATTCCACACGACTGAGTGAAATCTAAAACATCACTGCATATATACAAAAACCTCTGTCGGATTAGATTGGAGCGTCCGAGAGAGACGGAGAAGAGCAAGTTTCCAAAAATAGAGGGACACCGTATAGATCCACCCAAAGGTTTGTTTTCATTTCTACTTTCTATTTCGGACAGCAAAACCCGTCGATTTCAGCGGGGGTTACATCTGATTTGGTGTTCATCTCTTATGGGGAAACTTTAGAGACAGTTTCTAACTTTGAGAGCTTACTAATCTTTACTACATAGTAATCGGCCAATCCGACGTCGTATTAGTTCCAAAGTTCCAAGCTTTAATGTCCTCAAATCATTTTTTTCCACTGCTGCATATGATTGTTTCTAACAAGCAATGTTCTTTTTCTTGTCTTCTTCATAGGTTGCAACAACTCATTAGTTTCACTTCAACGGTTTATATATATTAGCCTGATGGAAGCAGACAACGGAGGGAATAACTCTAGTCATGCTTCAAAACAACGTTTGCGTTGGACTCATGAGCTACATGAACGTTTCGTTGAGTCCGTTGCTCAACTTGGTGGCCCTGATAGTGAGTTTCCTTTTTCCCTTCTATGATATATTTAGTAACTTATACCAACATGTTAGGGTTACTGAATATATCTTTTGCTGTTTATTTCCAAAGGGGCTACACCTAAAGGCGTTCTTAGAGTTATGGGTGTTCAAGGGTTAACTATATATCATGTCAAGAGTCACTTACAGGTATACTGCAATGATATTACTCTGTGTGGCCTTGTCTGTTCTCTTCCCTTTTTCTCTTAACTCTGTATGCACCCCCCCTCCCCCCAGTTTCTTTTGCTGATTTTTGAAATTGTGTTTTGATTTAGAAATATCGACTTGCAAAGTATCTGCCAGATTCATCTTCAGAAGGTAGGTGGACATTGATTTCCTTCATATTTCACATGCTCTCAGTTTCCTATTTGGCTGAAAACTGGTATTTTATTTTATTCTCCAGGGAAGAAAACTGATAAGAAAGAATCTGGAGATGTGCTCTCTGGGTTGGACGGTTCATCGTACGTTAAATTTTATTGCTTGAGTTGTTTTGTGATGCTACCGCCTGGTGCTTCAAATTTAGTAATCATAAGGAGGCTAATTTTTTTATTACAGGGGAATGCAGATAACTGAAGCCCTCAAGTTACAGATGGAGGTTCAGAAACGATTACACGAGCAACTAGAAGTATGCCTTCACGATGCTAGTGCAATAAATAGTTAAGCAGTTAGTGTGCGTAAACGTGACATTCTTTGATGCTTTGTAGGTGCAAAGACAGCTACAACTACGGATAGAAGCACAAGGGAAGTACTTGAAGAAGATAATTGAAGAGCAGCAGCGACTCAGTGGAGCTCTCGGCGAGCCCTCAGGCCCAGTAACAGGCGAATCAGATCCTGCAACACCTGCCCCAACATCCGAGTCTCCCCTACAAGATAAATCTGGCAAGGAATGTGGACCAGACAAAAGCCTTTCAGTTGACGAGTCTCATTCATCTTACCGGGAGCCATTGACACCAGACTCAGGGTGTAACGTTGCGTCTCAGGACGAGAGTGCAGGAGAAGAGAGATCATCAAAGAAGCCTAGATTGATGAGAGGAAGTGCAGCTGGTTATACACAGGAGATGGTAGTGACGCATCCAATACTAGAATCAGGTTTGAACACTTCTTACCATCAGTCGGACCATGCTCTCGCCTTTGACCAGCCATCTACATCACTGCTTGGCGCTGAAGATGGATTGGACAAGGCGTCTGGAGACGATCTATGAGTTGTGTATCAGGTGGCATCTGTAGTTGAGTGTATCACATGTAGTAGTTTTGTTGTCTATCCTTATTCCTATTAGTTAGGAGTGTCCTCTTAGTGAGGTATTCACAGCTCTCTAATTACACTTCCACTAGCATGAACAATGAATATATGTCGTGTTGTGCTGTAATTTGGTAAACAAAAAAACAACAAACATTTGTAATTTCTTATCCCCAACACAGTGAAGATTCTTGTGAAGCTATTTCATTACAAATAGTAACAGTAGTTGCTGATATATTTCAATAATAACATCAGAACAAATGTAGTTTTTACCGTATCATCTACAATTTGATTTTTCATGTAATGAAGATTTCAAAAAAACAAAAGAAATGAAGTTTTCAAACATATTACAGTGGTCTTCAATAGAGACTCTACATTCTAAGGATTGATGTTGCATTCTCTGAGGTAAACGTGCTGGTAGTCTACGTGCTTTGACCAGAGGCCTCGATATTTTGGGATCCCAATCTCAAGCCATGGTTTGAGGTTGCCATTATAGTGCACGACGGCTGCCCTTTCAATATCCCTCTGGTTCACTCTTGGGTTGTATCCAAGTCCCAGCACGTGCCATTTCCGGTCTAGAGGGTATGTTCGTTTCCAAAATGTGATGAGACCAGGCGGCAGTGTCCCTAGTTTCCACAAATCTCGGTCTTGATTCTGCAAAGTTCAAAACAGTTCGTGTATAAGGTCAGCAAACGTTTGTTGAAAGCAAAGACAGATGCATTATAACCAACATCTACAAGCAGCTAAACCAAAAGTGAATATGTTTTCTGCATACCATATTCTGCCATCGATGGTAAACCTCAGTGATGTTTTGCCTCTTCCATTCGTCCAGATCAAAAACATTCATACCATAAGCCCATCCACAAGCTCGAGGGTCAAAATTCTTGGAGATGAGTGGATTTGAGAAGTTCAGATAACGGTCAAAGCGATGAAAGCTTTCCCCACAAGTCTCAACAGCACCGTTGACATTACCCTTCAGATCAACTGACCAAAGACCAGAAAGGTCCCTCTGCACAACTATATCATCATCTAAGAAGAGCACCTTGCTGAGCTTCGGGAAGATCTCAGGCAAGTAAAAACGAAGATGATTAAGGATAGATAAGTATTTTGGATTCCGGAACTTCAAGTTGGTATCTGAATTTGCATGGTGTGCCCTGAAGTAGTAGTCTATCATCGATCGAGAACTAAGCTGTTTAAGAACAGGACTGTAGCTTGAATTCAGCCATGTAAATTCATCAACGTTCTGGACCTGGATGGTGGCTTTGCCAGGTGGATTGTTTAGGAACCACATCCTCATTGCCGCATAGTTGAGTCTGTCTGTGACGATGTGGAAGACATGCTTCGAGGGATGCTGCCAATAAACCATTAAGACAGTAAGTTTTACACGAAGAAACACATTTAACTGTTTAATCAAATGAACAGAATTACTCCTTACCTTGGCATTGGTTATGGTAGAGTTAACAACAACTGATGTAGCCAAAACATTGTCCGAGAAGAGGGCATAGTGATACAGCTGATTATCTTCTAGTTTCTCCTGATTGGGAAACTGTTGTTCAGACGAATTTAAAGCGTAATAATCGGTAGTGAGGCGTAGAGGGAGGCAGTGAAGTCCCTTAGGAATCGTCTTAGCAGTCAACTGTGTCAAGAACATAGCTTGCTTCTTATGGACACGTAGCTGTTCCTCTGCCGAGTGGAGCATTGCACGTAGCTTCTTAACCACTGTGGAACAGTCATCTTGGATCTCCTTGCCTTTGGCCAATGTTTGCTCTATCGCTTTCAGTTTTTCTATAGCACTGTGTTTAAAAAAAAATGCCAGAGAAATTAATGACAGGAAGGAACCTTTTATTTCAACTGGTCACATTTCCAAGGATACTTACGTCTTTGGCAGATCTGAATCTTTAGAGGCATCTAGGACTACCCGTTGAACTTCTTTAATACGGAGACGAAGCTCTCTCACAAAATGTGGATTAGCCTTTGCAGCTGGAAGAGAAAGATAGACCTTTGCCCTAATCAGCTGATCTTTAAGTTGCCTCACCTGAGCATCAGGCATCAACACATTTCCTCTGTCCTTCTCAGCTCCAGAATCTTTAGGCTCTTTCTCGTCAACCTTTCCAGAAGTTTCCTGGGTCAACTGAACATGTATCCTTTCCTACAAGATAATGACATCGGTGCAGAGCTTAATGAGAGCAAAGAGATCATTTCGGCAGAATAGCAAGCAGTTAGGTGGTCAAAACAACTATATTAGCAGCCAATGTAACTTGGTAATTTTGGTAGACATATTATTACCACAAGAGACAAGTTCAGTTTCTCCTAAGTTATACAATCACGCATAAAGGCAAATCTAGAGCCTTTCAATGAGGAGAAACCAAAGAAAACCAATCTGACTACACTGCAGGAACAAGTTCTAACCGATCTAAAAGAAGAAATGTCAACATGTGGTGTCAAATTCATAGAGAGAAAACGTACCCTATTCTCGGCCTTGTCATCAGAAGCGTGAATAACATTTGGCTTATCCATCTCAGAGACTGCATGATCAGTGACTTGTTTGATGGTACCATCAGTCTGAGACTGATTCTCATCGTCGGTGGCCGAAAGAACTCGAGCAGACACTTGGTCTCTAGCTTCTAAAAAGGGAAACTTTTGTGAGTTAAAAGAATAAGAGCTAGAAAAGGAAAGAAACAAGATAAAAGGAAAGTTGCAAGTACTTAAAGATTGAACCGAGTCAGGGTCTTGCTGTTTGGAATAGACTACACCAACGACTCCTCTTCTAACATCTACCGTTGATTCCTGTATACAATTGGAACAAAGATTGCAAATTTAAGAAACTAAGAAAAGATCTGAAGCGAATCAAGTAGCTTGAGAGGAGAGAAACGTACCCGATGAAGCAGATTTAAACGATTCTCTTCGGATTTGAAAGTCTGAACAAGAAACAAGAACCAAAAGAAGAAACTTTAAAGCTTAAGAAAGGAAATCTTGAGAACTCAGACATGGAGGAATATGAAGAAGAAGAAGAAGAAGAAGAAGAAGAAGAAGAGAATGATACTTACCAGAGAGGTTACGTCCTCAAGGAACTCGCGTTTAGCTACAGAATCAAACACAGAGAAGATAAGAAACCAAACAAAATCGGAGACGAGAGATAGAGAGAGAGAGAGAGGAAACTGACAAAATGGGGTGTTGACGGAGGTATATGAATCGGTGTAGAGAAGGATGGGAGCAGCGACGGTGAGGAGCAAGAAGAAAAGAACCAGATTTCGAAACGTCATCATCGTCAAGATCAAGAGAGATGGAGTTGCAACATTCTCTTGTGAATGATTGTTTTTAGGGACAGAGAGAAGAAGAGAACCAAGTGATAATAACTAGCTGTTCAAGCCAAAGACGCTTTTACCCTTTTTAGCCATTAATACTATTTCTTGTTTTTAGTCTAAGCCATTAATACTATAAGTAGGTCCTAACTATGTAAGATTTTTAATTATTTTCTAATGATAAAGATTTGTTTTTGTATAAAGGAGGATTATGTGATCCAGATTTTCCACTGTACACAGCTCACTAATGAATTAAACCGACACACGTTTAGTTGGCACATACATTTTCTTGCTATGGTATTTGATTAGAAAGAGCTGTAACTTTATTTTTTATGCTTTAAAAATTTTGTTGTGGGATTTTTGACTGTAGTTTTAAGTTTTTTTTTTGCTGTAGATTTATTTCAAAAACAATTGAAAACACTAAATAAAAAAGAGAAAATGACTAAAATAGACCTAAAAAAGTTTTTATCACAAATATAGAGTTTAACAATTAAAATGACCAAAATAGCAATTTAATATTTTATTAAATATACATTTATATCTTTGGGTTAACTAATCCTAGAGTTTTTTGTTTAGAGGTAAGGAGTGGAGTTTTGATTATAGGGTTTCGAATTTAAAAAATTTAAAATTTTCAAAACAAAAAGTATTATTTTGGTCATTTTAATTTTTGAGGTCTATTTTTGTGATAAAAACTTAAAAGAGGGTTATTTGAGAGAATTGCCCAAATAAATACTGTAGAAAAATTGATTTCTCGAGTTAAAATGTTTCTTTTTTTTAGTTTTTGCTGTATGTCTATTTTAAAATCTAAAGAATGATTACTTTACAAAAATGGCTTTAGAAAGAAAAATAACTTTCTACCGCATTTACAACCCCTTCCAATTGTTGAATAACTTTGTTGCATAGGGAAGTAAGAGGAGTTACTGTCGTTGATGATTTAAGGATGCTCCATAGCATTGTATTGCTAATTTTCAGAAAATAAAATATTAAAAACTTACATAAAATTGTTGTTGTGACATCATTAGATCATTTACAACACCACCGATCAGTAGATAGAAAAAATTCAAAACAAAAACCTATATTAATCAAGCAGGTTCAGTGAAAGAAGATCAACTAGACGGTAGAGACAACAATGGGACTTCTTACATAATGTTTACCATCACTCCATGTGAGACCACCAAAGGCATAGTCTTTTGCCACCCATATAGGTTTCAATGTCATCTTAAAGCTTTTCACCTGACCAACTCTGTCAAACTTCAACACACTCGGCTCAACGTTCACTGACACTCCATACGGCTCCCTGACTCCTGCTGCATAAGTGCCCACGGATCCTACATTCTTCAGTTTCCTTGTCACAGTCACAGAGCCTGTGAGGTTAGGCACCGTGATGGATGGATAGTTTAAGTCTACCACACTAGCTTCCTTGGGGCATTTGTAGGAAGGACTCTCTGAGAAAAGCTTAATCATTGTTTTGTTGTACCCAAGTGCGCAAAGAAAGTCCAAGTAGTCGTTCACTGTCAAGTCATAGACAAGTCCAGGGTCTCCTGCCCGGCTTGGTCTGATATGTCCTGACCCGTAGTTGAATGAGTTTGCCTTCACGTAGGACCCGTTGAGCATGGGGCTAAATCTGTTGTCTCGTGTTCTTGCTGCACGTGAAAGAAACAATGAGACTGTGTATCTCAAATGGAATAAGAATAACAATCTGAGGTGGAAATGGAGTTAAGCATATACCGGTGGTCATGATAGCTGATCTGATAGCAGCTGGACTCCATGAAGGGTGCATTGTCCTAAGAAGACCAGCAACACCCGCAACATGAGGGCAGGACATGGAAGTGCCAGATTCTGTATAGAATGCAGTCGTGCGAGGATCAGACTCCAAGCCGCTGAGACTTTGTTCTCTTGTGTAGGCAGCTATGATGTCGACCCCAGGAGCAGTCACATCAGGCTAAATCAAGAACATACCATCAAGTAAGCAAGAAGAAGCAGGGGAATAGATATATATTATATATAAGGAGATAGAAATAATATAAAACCTTAAGGATTCCTGATGTAATAGTGTTAGGTCCTTGAGATGAGAAGTTTGCCATATAAGGAGCTGGTTTGATGCCAAAAGCTGCTACAGGTGCAGTAAGAGTACCCATGGGCTCTAAACTGTAAACAAACATTACAATCAAAACGATGAAGCATCTTCCTAGCAGTACACAAAACAAGTATATGGGTATAAGAGGGCATACTAAGTTGAGTTAACGTAAGAGAACAAGGCTTGGCTATCGAAAAAGTTGATATGTGTAGCAGGAAGAACATGTGGATCTGCTATGATATCATTCCATGATCCCTTATCATTGCATAGAATCATACCAACAGCACCAGCCAGAGAAGCTTGTCTCCCTTTGTCTACTCTCGATGTGTTTCCTCTCAGACACACAATGATCTTACCATATGCCTTGTGTGGATCTAATGTCCCTTCTTTGCAAAGCATCCTGGTTAAAGGCAGCAACAACAACAAGTTAATGATGGTGCATGGTAAAAAAAACAAAGCATTCTTTTGACTTACGCATCTATAGCAGAAGCATTGGCAATTTTAGCTTGAGCTCCCGTTGTGAGGCTGAACAGTTTCCCTACAGGCAATGCCTTTGACATGGTTTCACCCTTGAACCGTTCACCGTTTGCAAGCTGTACAAAGGACTGGAACTCACGGTCCATCGTGCTGGCTGCTACTGTGAGTATCCAAGGGGCTACGTTTGAGACAGTTGCAGGGTCAGGACCAGAGTTTCCAGCGGAACATACCACAGTGATACCATGTTTAACAGCGTGGAAGGAGCCAATGGCAATGGCATCATTGAAATAATCAGCAGGGTCACCACCGAGTGAGATGGAGAGGACATCAACACCGTCATGAATGGCCATATCAAAGGCAGCCAATATATCAGCGTCAAAACACTCAGAACCATTAAAGGGAGGCCAGCAGGCCTTGTAGGAAGCTACCCTCGCCAATGGAGAGCCTCCTTTCGCAGTTCCGTTGCCTACACCGAAGACGCTAGCTCCAGGGACAAAGTGGCCTCCTGCTGTTGAGAGAGTGTGAGTCCCGTGACCGTCATGGTCACGAGCTGACTCAAAGGAAGAGTTGCTTTTTAGACCAGCAGAAACCAAGTACCCTTTGTTGAAGTACCTTGTCCCTATAAGCTTCCTGTTGCAACGAACATCTCCAGCGGTGTTGCAACTTCCTTTCCATCGAGAAGGAACAGGTCCAAGTCCATCTGAGCTAAAGCTTTGGGATTCAGACCAAACACCTGATGATGATACACAACATGGTGGCTTTAGTATTGTTAATTAGTAAAGAAAGGAAGAGAGGGAGAAGAGAAGGTAAAATTGCAAACCAGTGTCAAGGTTTCCGATGATTGTGTCTTCACCAAATCTTGCCTTTGACCACAAGGAACTTGAAGGGATCACACCATCCTTCTCCATTTGCATGAACTCCCATGAATGTGTTGTGTGCAACTTCTTCCCCTTCTCTGGAAACACACTGATCACACTAGGATGCTCTGCATTCAAACACAGTGGAGGTGAAACTCTCTAATAAACTCAAAAAAGAGAAAGAGAGTTTTGAATTACTTGAAATAGCTGCAGCTTCTTCTTCTTCAAGAACGGCTGCAAAGCCGTTGATATGTCTGTCGTAGGAGTAGAAGATTGCGTTTCTAGCCTTCTCATGACTATCAAAATGCATGGGAACAAAAGATCAAACACTAAGAATATAAGCAAGAGGCACAAAAGATAGAGATGTGAAGTCATATTGTTACCTTCCCAAAAAGGATCCCAGCAATTCATGATGAGATTCAGATACAAGTTTAAGAGCTGAGGAGGAGACTTCAGGGCCATGTGAGTGAGATCCCAAGTAAACAATGTACGACTTTTATAGTCAACCAACAAAAAAAAAAAACAAAATCAACAGTTTTGTTAATGTAGAACCTTACATACATGAACGTGACAAGAACAAGGTTCTTACTTTTCTAGCAGCAAAAGCAGGGACATGAAACAGAGACAAGATAATAAACAATGCAAGTAGAGTTTTCGTCATAGCTGATAGCTTTGGTTCTCTGAAATTTTTCTCCAACTTCTCTCTAGAATTTTTTTCAAGATGTCTTCTTCCCAAGGTGATCAAAAAAACTGTGAGGTCCAATCCGGTGACAACCCTACGGCACATCCGCAGGACGCTCGGATTTCCCAGTTTCTCTAGTTTATTGTAACCATACTATATATACGGGAGCTTGTATGTGAATCTAAAATTATATAAAAACAAAGGGATAAAGAGTATAATGAAATAGGACGTATCTAAACGCAAATGTCGGGTTGTAGAACAGTTTGATGTGTATATCATTAACTTCTCATTATACACTAAAAAGCTTTTTTATATTTCCTTTGTGGTAGTTAAGCCCTTCCCTTTGTTATAAACCAAAGCAGGTTTTAACGGAGAAGAAGAAGCCAACAAAAATGGCTAATGGGTCCACTAGACGTAATGCAGTTGTCGACATCAAAGTAATGCTGTGAAGAGGTATGAATTTAGAAGTAAGACAGTGATGGTTACTAGAAGTGGAAACTTAAGGAGAGAGAGGTTACTCAATAGTCAAAATAGTACAGAAGAACTATGTACCTCTCTTTAAGTAAGGCATTTAATGTCAGTTGGTTTCTTCATCTACTTTGCTTGTTTCTGGAAACTTCTCAATAGCCCTTCTTTTCTCTGGAAGTAAGCTTCTTTAAGTTTCTCTCTACAACCCAAGATATGAGGTAACAGATCATTTCTTTGTCATTTGTCTGCCATTTGATCAAAAGATGTGAAAATTTAAGGAGAAAGAGATTGCAACTATGTACCTCTCTTTTTATGCAAGGCATTAATGTCCATGGGCCATAGGTTTCCTCATCTTGTTAAGCTAAGCACTATATTGATTGTTTCTTGAAACAAGAGAAGCTGGTTGTGGAAGGACATCGTGTGGAAGTAGCTTAGTAGCTTGTCCGAACTCTGAAGAAAGTTAGGCTACACCGAGATCATCCATGTTTCTAATGCCTAAGCCCTTTTACACAGCACTGCCATCTAATTTTAGTCCTCTTCTAACATGATGGGTCCTTGGAGCAACATCTGACACGTTTTCTAGTTTTTGGTTATTTCACCTGTTGTTTGAAAATCACAAGATTTCAGTTTGCTATCTGAAGTTGAATGATTCATGGTGAAACTGTCCTCCATGATTTAAGAACATTCCGTAGCATTGTATTAGTTTTGAGAAAGAAACCGATTAAAAACTTACATCAAATGTTTGCTGTCATAGCATTAGATCATTTACAACAACACCGATCTTACTTAGATGCATTTTAATGCCCATAAACCCCTAAACCCAACCCAAACATCCTTACTACTACGGCTAAACCAGCTTGGATTACTTCCTTAAGCAGATCTTTTGAGCTTGGAGAGCTTCCTCAATGCCTCTTCTAACGGCTCACTGATCTTGTCTTTTCTTCCCTACATAAATCCACAAACCATACACAAAAAAAAAACAAATAAACTCAGATTGGCTTTTTTCATAGATGAAACAGAAACATATAAACACAAAGTATAAGAACCGAGCCTCAGATCCTGATGGTACTAATGCATACCTTCAAGGATGGAACAAAAGCAAAGACTTCATCAATGCTTTCTGGACAGGTATTAGCAATCACACACATCTGCAAATACAACAAAAAACTTAAAACTTAGAAGGTGCGCTTAGGGTTTGTTGTCTGAATTGAAGCTCTTTGGTTAAGTTTCAGTACCTCACTTTCAGAGACACCATGCTTTTTAAGAGGCCTGATATCATATTCGTTAAGTTATAAACACAGAATAGAATCTTATGAAAATAGAACTAATCTGCATCAAAGATCAAGGAAGACAGCTAAAAAAGGATACTCAAGGATCTTCCTGACAGATTGAGGATTGGTGTAGCAACGACCATACTTCACATACTCCAGTCCTCTGTCGAAAGACCTGAAAAACAAACTTACACGTTAGTGAATCCAAATACCTTTCCCCGCATGGAAACAGAACACAATGCCGTGAATGTATGTTATACTTACAAAGGAAGCTTTATGCTAGGATCTTCAGATAGCACAGCCATTTGTTCCTTGATGTCTTGTAGCATCTCAAAAGCTTCACAGTCCATCAAGCACTTTGCATTCTCAGGAAGCTCTGCACATATATTAACATGCACCAACGGAATCAACATAACGCAGAGCACCGAAAGGCTTTGACAGAGAAAGTAGAAAATGTACGAACCCTTATCAGTCTTAAGCTCAAGCGGCTGAGACTCTTTAGACAGGTTACTCTTCCTAGCCTTGCTTCCCTTCCCACCTATAGTCCAAGAAGATAGAGTTTAAGCTAACAAGATACAATCAAAAGAGCAAACAAAGAAGAAAAAGTTGATACCTTTAGCAGAAGAACCATGAATCTGGTCATCAGAGTCTTGAAGAAACGTATACTTGGACTCTCGTGGGCCTAATACGAAAGACGAACATTTCATAAACATCACACGATAAAGTTGGGAACTTTACTCAGCGGAGAAAGCAAAAAAAAAAGGTTCAAACCTTGAGGATCAAACTGGACTTTCCTTGTCTTCTTGGACTTGGTTGTGTTATCGTCCTTGCCGGACCCTACACCAAGAAACCCTCAAACATGAGTTAAAGACAAATGTCGACAAAGATAGTAATAAAAATCTGATGAAAGTGGTTTAGAAATACGATACCATAAGTGGACTTGAGAGATGATTTGAACCCTTTGCCTCCTTTCTCCGACATGACTACCGCCGATGATCGAGAAGAAAGCAAAGAGGAGAGAGAGTGTCAGCGTCAAACGGCGGAGATGGCAACTCTGGAATGGCTCACTAGCTTTTAGTTTTGCTCAGTACACTTAATGGGCCTTGAATGGGCTTTAATGGGCTTTTACACTTAATAAATTAAACCCAGACTGAATCTAGATGTTCAGATACTAAAGAACATATTCAAGAGGTTTATACAACAACATAATAATCACAAAACATGAGTTAAGCTTGAGCTTTCCATTGTGGAAAACCATGACCTAATGGTCAATATTTAAAGACTTCTTACATTAGGTCTAAGGTTCGATTCTCAAAGGAAGCTCAATTCTTACTTATTATGTGATATAAGCTTTTCAGAAGTTTCAAAGTGCTATCGGTAAGTCATTAGTTGTGGTAGTGTGCTGTGGAGAGAGTTTGTTGATCGAGAATGTTGTATATGCAGAACCGCCTGTTGATTCAAGTGTAATGGGGAGAGATATATCGTGGAATCTCTGTTCGTGAAGTTGTTCATCATGTTTGCATATGTTGCAAATAATTGATCATCATATGTAATAGAATTAATATTATGTGATGATTTTTTGATTTGACCAGTGTTAAAGAAAAAAAATTGATTTATTTTGTAACTGAATATATTTATTTTATAGGTAATTTTGTAATTAACCATTGTAAGAATTAACGTGAACGCAACATGTATGAAACTGACTTATTAGATAATATTATAGAGATTAAAAAAGCTTGAATTTTTCACTACGGCAGCTATTTATAGCGTAAGAAAGATAACAAATGTATTAGAATAACGAATAAAAAGTAAACCCCGACCACTGGTACGAAAAACTCTTTTCTTCTAATCACCCATATCCCATATCTTAACAGAACGGTGGGTTCTTTTTGCATTAAGGTTTACGTAGAAAACTGACTTATCAGATAATATAATCTGTATTATATAGTACAGTTTCCTCGCTCTTGAAGATGTCCACGTAAGCATGCTTTGTGGGTTCCACAAAAAAAAAGAAAAACAACAAAGTGTAGATCAAGAGTCGAACTCATGTTACTTACTCTTAAAACAAAGTATTTACCACTAGACTATAGTACCTACATTATTTTATAAATAAAATAAAATATTTAAAATTAGGTCCGTTTAATTTCCGAGTAATCGATGATTAATCTTTAATTCTCTAAGTCTTCATCATCTGTCCGATTAACGCATGCGTTTTTCTGAACAGGGCTTCAGACTAATCTAAATACAGAGTGACTGTTTGTGTTTCCATGAATCCGTTTCTCTTACTCAACCTCTATGTCTCCCATTTTTACTCTGCTAATTAATAATGGATCATGTTTGTAACATCTCATGCATTCCGCTTAATATATACTCTATCAAAATGGAAGACCCTTCCTCCCTGATTCTCTCATCGCTTCTTCTTCGAGTCAAATTTTATTATATCCCACTTTTACTCTATTAATAATGGACCACGTCCGTAGCACCTCATGCATTCCGCTTAATATATACTCTCTCTAAACGGAGGAATCCTTCATCTCCAATTCTCTCCTTGATTGAGTCGATTTTGATTACATCTTCTCGAAAATGACTTAATCTTCTACTCCAGTTGCTAAAGATGTTGCATGCCTCTCAAATTTAGATTCTCTCTACCTTGGTTGAAATGTTCAGTTTATGGTTGCTCGCCGCCTCTATTTATGGGTTCTCAGAACATAAAAAAGATGAATTTATGGGAATTAGAGAAGATTGAGAAGAACTTTTGACATTTAACAAGACTGCATGTTGACTGCTTATATATATGGATTTGTATAATTTTATTAACTAATACGAAATACTATCACACGCCATATCGGTTTAGCTTATATGTCAAACTTCAAAAATTATAATAAAACTATAGAATACATCAAATATGTACCCGACTCCACGCTTGCGCATGAGCTATACCCAGTGCCGGCCCTTGGCATGTGCACAAGATGCCTATGCACAGGGTCTCAAAAAATAAGAAATTTTTAGTAAGAATTTTGGGTCTTGTTCTTACATATTTAAAGGCCCTTTTTACCAATTATTTTTTGATCTTGTAAAAAAAAAGAAAATTTGCACAGGGTCTGTGAAAAACATGAGCCGGCCTGGCTATACCCCTAGTAGATTTAAAAAACTTGAAATTTTCACTACAGATAAGAAGTCAGCTATTTATAACGTAAGAAAAATAACAAATGTATTAATAACGAATAAAAAATAAACACTGACCACTGGAACGAAAAATTCTATCGTCCAATTACCTAAAATTCTGTCGTCCAATTACCTTAACAAACGGTGGGTTCTTTTTGCATTAATGTTTACAGTGTTAATATCTATATTATTAAAGCAGAATCCCTCTTAAGATTCTGTCATTGGTTTTATAACTTATTTACAATATAATGACATTTCCTATTTTAGAATATTTTTAATCATTCCACCAAATATATTTTCAACCAATCAGATGTCACTGTTTTATGGCATATTATTTACGTTTGTTAAAGAATCTAAGAATTGATTTTGAATGCAATATTGTTAAGATTCTCTAGCTTTATTTGGAATTATGTGGCTGACAATTAAGATCATTTTTCTTTTCAAAAAACCATTTTCCACTTGAAATATCACATTTATTATATCTACAATATATTAATTATGAATTATCTAATCTGTACTATTAAAACAGAATCTCTAATAGGATTTTGCTCTTGATTTTCAAGTTAATTACAAAGGAATGCCATCCTATATTTATGCATAATATATTTAAATATCTATTTTTTTTTGTTTTTCTCTCCCGAACTATCTTTCTTTCTCCTGGATATTTTTTTAGTTCTTCTAATCTTCATCGGTGCCTTTAATTTCTATATTTTCTCAAGAGTTAATCTGTTTTCTTTTTTTATTTTACTTTTGTTTATTAAAACACCAAAATTAGACGACGCTAAGATTGATTTCACGTCTTTTACTAAGGGTTCATCCACTTTGACCGAGAGCTCTACTCTCCACAGCCACATCTGAAAAGCTTTGAATTTAATTATTTAACCAAAACAGTGGTGACGGTATGAGATGATCGGTGGTGAATTTTAATAGTGGTTGATCTACCATGGTTTTAACCCACTTTTAACTATAGTACTTAGATGATTTTATAATAAATATATATATATATATATATATATATATATATATGTTTTGGAGTCTATTAGGTATGTTTTCAGGTTCATGAACATTTTGGAGTAAAGTGATGATTTAGGTGCCCTTATGGAGCTTAAAGGAGAGTTTTCCCGAGACAACTATGAAGATCAGACAACAAGGTCAATATCCAGAGATACATATCGATCGATACACATCCTGTGTGATCGATCGACGACGCTTCCGTAGAAGATGACGAATCGAGATACTCCATCGATTAATGTACGCCTTGTAGCATCAATCGATATCGAGCGTGAAGAACAAGTTTGACTCAGCCGACTTGAAGCCCAAGTTCTCTCAATATTACAAGATTGCCCCTGACGAGTTTTTAACCTAATTGAACTCATATTTATAGTTATGCCTATGTGCTTTGGAAAAGTGTGCTTTTAAGTGCCTTTGATTGCTTTTATTCTTTTTAATACTCTTAGTTCTTTGATTTAAAAAATTATTCTTTTCATCTTATTCTGATTTTCATCAAAGGTTATAGAGTTCTAGATTTAGAAGAACACATAAAGAGATTTGTTGTTCAAAGGAACCAAGTGTTTAATCTTCGAATCTTATGAATTTCTATTATTACCTTGATGCTATGAATCACTTAGACATGTCTGAGTAGATTCACTTGTTAGATTTGGGGTTCAAATAGTTATGAGGGATTAGCCCCAACTATGGATTGTTGAGTTGTGATATTCATTATCCTGATGAACCCTAATGCTTACTCTAGAGTAGCTAACTAGAGTATGATCCTGGAATGATTTAACTTGTTAATCATCATCATGAAATCATCTAGCATAAGCTGAGGTCCTCTAAGGATGAGCGAGAGCCGGTCTATGATCTTGGTGAACACGTATTCAATTCGATCTGAAGCTATATCGATCGATAAGAGTAATCGATCGACGACAACCTATATCGTCCGATATCGCTGTCAAAACATCGGTCGATACTGCGGGGAGTCAGATCAATGGATGAGTCTAGATAGCGATTGCTAATAGACTTATCTAAGAGTTGAAGTTTTTTAATATCTTGCAAACAACTTATTAAGACATCCGTAGCATTATAATCCTGATTATCTGAATAGCAACCTTGAATCTAACTACTTTCTTTTTGTTTAAAACCTAAACCAATTCTCTTGGGAAACTCTCCATTGCTCACAACTGCAATTTACTTTTAAACTTTAATCAACCTAGCATAATCATTAAGGATTATATCTTTTGTGTTCGTTAGTTCCTTGTGGATTCGATCCCTCAGTACTACAACTGAACCTCTTATTTGAGAGAGTAATTCACTCCTTAGGGTAATTTGAGTGATATCAAATTTGGCGCCGTTGCCGGGGAACTTTGATCGCCATTAGATTTTATCTGATTAGGTCTAGGTTACTTGTTACTGCTTAATCATCCTCTGACACAAAAATTTTTTCTTGTCTTTTTCAGGTACATGCCCAGCAGTACTAGAAGCAACAAGAACAACCAACTTGTGTACTCAGAAGACCCCCACAGTTTGGAACGTAGCATCCGCAGAGACTTACGATCCGCATCGATCGACATCAACAACCGTTTGTTGACCGACACTCGCTTACCACAATCGACCGAGACACCTTCTTCGTCGACCGATACTCGCACCTTTCCATCGATTGACATCAACAACCGTTCGTGAGCGAAATATTTCATCCGACATCGATCGATATACTTCATCTTAAATCGATCGATACTTACCGGCAAGACATGGTAGCGATTATTATTCTCACTACTGATGAGAATGGAGACCTGCATGATCAAGATGGTCACCTGCGTAATGCAGCAGGTCAGAAGCTGAATGCTCAGAAGGAGATAATTCCTGAGCAA